GGGCGCAACTGCTGCAATGCTATCTGACAGGCCAATAACTTTATTGATTCTTAATAGATAACTACTTCCCTAAGTAATACAAATATCAGGCTCTGTACAGGATTAATAATGTTATAGATCCTGGCATAGATAAAAGTAAAAAAAAATTAATAAATTATTAAAAGCCAATTTAGAAATGGTAATTTGATTTTCCCCCCCTATTCTAACTGCACAGAATTGTGCATAAACATTTAAACCACTACAGAGCCTCTGGACAATGCATGTTGATTATTTTCAACTATTATCTTCCAAGTCCCAGCTACAATATCTAACTCTTTTACATGAATGCACAATGACTGTTAGCAAACATTCAACTGAATACAGAATAGGATGATGCCAAAAAGAAATGTGTGTAAATTCTGTATTAATTATCAATTACAATGAATCCCTCTTATAGATATAATCACTTTATAATATTAGATTATTCTCATTTCTTGTCTATTTTGAAATTAAAGACTTTATAGATGAAAACACTGTAAGTTAAATATGTTGCAGCTCCTTTCAGAGATTTGTTATCTCAAGCTTCCATCTCAGTGGTGGGAGATACATGCTAACTACTGTTAGGGTACAGGATTTTGATTGAATTTTCACTGAGGTGGCCCAGCACTTAAGTGGTAGGCATTCTGTAGCTGTTACATTTGGGTGGGTAGTTATCAGCATACCAAGGCTGCCTTTGTATCTATCCTCATCAATCCCAGCTTTAGCATCATTACAGTAGGCAATGTAGCTGTTGAGAGCAAGAGCAGTTAGGGACCAGATTGCTTGTACCAGTATTGTATCAAACTTGCATAAAACATTTATGAAATTGTTATCTTTGTAGTCTGAGGACAACTCAACCACATTCCAGCTAATTAGGATAACTGTCCTAGTGTTTCCCACATCACTCCTCTGTGGGGCACATACAGCATGTCTTTGAGGATGGAAGCAAGTTTGAGGGAAGGACTTTGGGTCTCTTGGGGATCTCTCTGGTACAGTATAATCCTCTTGTGATATACTGAGATCCTTCTGACCTTGTGATGTGGATCTTGAATTTCAAGTTCTCATCCGTTTTAGTTCATCTATGAGCAGCTGTTGTGTTTGTAGAAAATATGTTAAATTTGAGGGTTTCCTATCCTCTGTTTCACAGTTGACAGATTCCTCTAGTTTTGTTGATGATAATGGTGGGTATGGTGGTCCATAGGTTTTAGGAAGAACAAGAGCATCATTATTCTTATTTTTGTTGGAAACAGAATCTGAGATACAAGCATGGATTGACATCTTTCTTCAAGAATACTTTCAGAAATTTGTTTCAGTTATTTTCAAGTTTAAGTTCTGAACAGAAAATAAGCCTTCACATTTTTGTAGGGTTCAACAAAATTATCAAGCAGATGAGTTTACTGCTCAGCAAATCAATTGATTTAACAGTTCCTAAATGAAACAGAAATCCTCAATAGTTATGTGGCCAGTAGTATATAAATTATCCATTAGTAATATCTAGTGGCTTGTATATAGCAGTTCCACTTCACTATAATCCTGTGTGTAAGAACTAGATTTTTTAAAATAGTGATTTTCTAACTTACTCAGAAGATTCATTCCATTTTCCTGTACAAACATAAAAATATCAGAAAATATTGCTGCTGCATATTATTAAACCATCTCTTTTGTATTATCACATTGATAGGGCTACTTAATTATTCCATTTGTTATACCCTAACCCTAACCCAATTATACTGCATTTTTCATCACAGCTCAGCCACAGTATTTCAGATATACTATTATGACCAAAAATAACAATATAAAAAGCTACCATAGCCTTGGACAAAATAACCCCTAAATTACATAATTGGGAAATACTTTTATTAGAACTACCCAAGGGGACAAATTTATCCTTCTACATTTTTCAGATTCTTCTGAAAACCGCAATGTTCTTATATATTACAATAGCCAACTAAGCAAAAGACATGGAAAACTGGCTTAAAACATATTCACTTCCAATCTTAGTGAATTTTTTCTTGTATTTTATTCTTAGAATCACTCTGAGTTATTGAGAGATGATAATAAGTGCCCAAGGTGCTAATTGCAAAAGTTAATGTGAAACTTATCCTTAATCAATCTCATTTTACATTATATAAAATATTTAATTACACTTAAAACAGTGTAAGATTACAATTAATTTCTTACAATGGAATGCATTACTTATTATATGAACAGTTATCTTCCTTGAAGAGTGAACTTAATTCCCATTGATCCGATCCAGATTTCTCATGTTCAGTGGAGAGTCTGCAAGGGATTCCATATATGAGGAATCTTGATGCTTCATGTTCCCAGTTATGAAGAGAAGGCATGGAAAGTAATTCAGTGACAGAAATGCAGACTATTTTTCAGGTCTTCCACTAAATACCTTGAAGACTGTTCCAGCTTTTCTTATATTCAGTATACAGTCCATTGGAAAAGTATTCAGACCCCCTTCACTTTTTTCAATTTTGTTATGTTGCAGCTTGATACTACAATTGTTCAAATTCATTTTTTTCCCATTAATCTACACTCAGTACCCCATAATGACAAAGTGAAAACAGAATTTTAGAAATG